TTCAAAAAATGTCTCGCGTCTTAATACTTGTCTTCATTTTCCTCTGCAACTCACTTTCTCTCGCATTGTCTTACTCTCTCCACTTCCCTCTCACATCTCTCCGTCTCAGTCCAAACACATGCAAACTCTTCTTCCTTCCAATCCTCCCTCGTCTCTCGCCGGAACCCATCTCCGTCTACATAAACCGGTTTAATCGACTTATCAACCGGTTTGGTTCAATTGCTTGGTTTAATAATCTCATTAGATTTCCTTATATGTAAACACTCGATCTATTTGGGAGAATTAATCAAAGAACAAACATATTATCTTCTCAATCTCTTCCTTCTATCGATCATCAACTTCTTTCATAATCACTGAATCTCAGTTCTTCGGGATAATCCTTTTATCTCCTAGGCTTTGATTTGCCCTTTCTTCGGATTCTCGGTGAATCTCTATTTATCTTACTGTAACACCGTCGTACAGTTTCCGATCAAATTTCAAATACTCAGTGGCTCTTATTCTCTCTCTTCAAATCGGAACACCGTCTCAAACTCAAGAGCTTGTTCTTTACACTGGAAGTCAACTCTCATGGATCCAATGCCATACCAACAAGAAGAATAAGATGCCTATGACGTCGTTTGATCCGTCTTTGTCTTCATCTTTCTCCGATTTGCCTTGCTCTCATCCTCTCTGTAAACCTCAAATTCTCGATTTTCCCTTCCCACTTCTTGTGACTCAAACCGTCTCCGTCACTATTCGCTGAGGGCAATCTCGTCAAAGAAAAATTCACTTTCTCAAATAACCAAAGCACCCCTCCTTTGATCCTCGGCTGCGCTACTGAGTCTACAGATGATATGAATCTTGGTCGTCTTTCTTTCGTTTCACAAGCCAAAGTATCAAAATTCTCGTATTGTATCCCGACCGGTTCGTTTTACCTCGGGGAAAACCCGATAATTCTCATGGATTCAAATACGTCTCTCTTTTGACTTTTATCTGAAAGTCAACCCAAGACCCACTAGCTTATACAGTACCTTTGTTGGCTATTAAAATCGGACAAAAGAGATTGGATATCTCATCTTCGGTTTTTAGACCCGATGCTGGCTGATTCGGGTTCGGAGTTTACTCACTTGGTTGATGTGGCATATGATAAAGTGAAGGAAGAAATAGTGAAGCTTGTGGGGCACATATTAAAGAAAGGTTACGTGTACGGTGCAACAGCTGACACTTTCTTTCGATGGAGACAATGGAGATCGGACGGTTGATAGGAGATCTTGTGTTTGATAGGTGCAGCAAGTAATATAATCGGGAACGTTCATCAGCAAAATCAATGGGTTAAGTTTGATGTGACCAATAAGAGAGTGGGTTTCAGTAAAACGGAGTGCAACGAAATGTTTCCATAAGAAGAAGGTTTAAAGATTCGTGTACAGTCGTGGGTATGATTTCGAACGGAGTGCAACGTAATTTTTTTTTTTATTGACAAAATTTTTTCAAAATTGTATCCGATCTTATGATCATCGTTGGATGATGTTTTTTTTCTCTTCGGGCCAAACATAAAGATTTCAATAGTGGTGGACCACAAGGGGCTGGTTAGCTTCAACCAAATATGTTATGTTATCATAGAGTTAGGTAAGCTTTTTAAATTTGTTACATTTTACTTTCTCTTATTCACTGAATGTTCTCCAGATTCAATCAAGGTCATCCCAAAGAAAAGAGCTAAACTATTCTCCTCCTTACAGTTACGCCTTCATCGCACCTTTCTGTGAACACAAAACTGGCTTTAATTAATTTGTCTCCTTATTTAAGATATTGGGATAAAATCATTTAAATCCACTTCCAATGGTATATTCCACAAATGCATGAATCTTTAGACAAGCAAATAGGATAATTAAATATACATAACAACATTAACATACATCATACCAGGGGCGGAGCCAGACAATAATTTTAAAAAGGAGCATAGATATTAATCGATTAGTTGCTAAACAAAAAAGTAACAACTTGTTAAGTATTTTATGGAATTTTATATGATAAAAAAGATTATTAACATTTATTAATGTAATATAAATGGGCAATGAGTGCAAATAAGCCCACTCAAATTTATGTAGTAC